TGTTGTTTTGTTTTCTTTTGTGCATGTTATTCTCTCCGCAGGTCTGTCTAAATAAGATAGGCTGGATGAATAATCAGGAAGCCTCTCTTTTTGTCAAGAGATCAAGAACCTACTTCTTTTGAGTTCGTTCAATAGCAGAAATAATTGGCCAATATTCAACCATTAGGTAGCATACAATGCTAGTGATGGAGAATCTCTAAGCTGCACTGAAAATAGTGGCAATAAAAAAAACTCTCCACAAATTAACAGAATATCAGTTGAGATGCTTCAGAAATGAATGCCTTAGTCATCTCTGCCAAAGAATATGGTAGACAATTATTTAGATAACAGAATACATTTTAAATAAAGGTAATTCAAAGGAATGTGGAAATTACTGAACCATATCATTAATATCAAGCACATGTTACTGACGATAATTTAAAAATTACTGCAGCAGTATATTGACAGGAAACTGGTAGAGATCCCAGCTAGGTTCAGAAGAGAGTATGAAAGTAAGTATACCATTGCTGATGACAGATGGATTTTAGCTGAGAGCAGAAAATATCAGAAATCTAAAAGTTACAGAAAGCTTGTGATTTTAAAATATTTTCTAAAATGATTTCAACATTTCAATGGAAATGTTTTAAAAAATCAATTAATTATTCTGAGTCTCCTCTTTTTATCATTATCAGGCACAACATTTTGTGCCATAAATAGTATGAATTAAATGTATTTTATTGCTACTCACTAAATGCTAATATTCTATAAATGAATATTGTCATCGTGTAATGTCCTGACCAAAAGTTGTTATAATTTCTCTATAAAGCAAACAAATTGAAATAACATAATCAGCCATGCTGGAATGATTTTAATATACCTGAAAGAGCCTTTTATGTTTTTCCCATTATGCTTTGACGTAAAGTTTAATACAATTTTTTTCTAGAACTATAATATATTTATACTCTGAAGAAATCAGGGTTATTTCTGGGCATTGCCAAGACATACTATGAAAATTAAATTTGATTATCTATTGATTGTTCACATTATGATAAAAATGATAACATTCAACATTATCATATAAGTTATATTAATACTGTCCCATGTCTTAAAGGTGAACATAGAAGTAAAATTACTTCTGTGCTTTCAAAAGTAATATGACTCAATTTCCTATCTTTCAAAGATAATTCAAGTTTAATTCTTACTTTTATAATCATAGCATATTCCAGAAAGCTCCATTCACATACAATTCAATGTGTATTTTATTCTTTGAGATTCAGGTTTAAGTTAACTTTTCATAAATCAAAAAGATGAGAATTGCTAAGCCAAAGAGATGAAAAAGTGGAAAAGAAAACTGGAATTTATAAAAGAGAAAAAAATAAGCTTTGGTAATATCTGTAGAATTCACTTTTAAAAGGGGCATTCAGGCCCAATATGCATCGTAAAGACACCAACATTAAGATGACAAGAGCTGGAAGAGCAATCCAACTATTAAAAATAAGATGTTTCTGACTCCTTAGACCCATGCAAGGGTGATATGTTTTCCTAGGTTCAAGATTCCTGAATTATAGTTTTACATCCAAGTACCTATATTAGACAAGAAAAAGCAACTACATAATTTGATACTTATATGTACTCAGCAAAAATGTTGGAGAAATAATCCGGGGGAACTTCTCACATCTCAGACATAAACTGGCCCAATGTAATATTTCAACATTGTACTTTGGGGTTACCCATAAGAAGCTGATACTACTGCAGACCCAGTCAAATAGCCATATGTATATTTTTTAAAATGATTGGTGGACATTTAATTTTTTATTGTTTCTTCTCAAGGTGAAGATAACACTTATGAATGTCCTAGCTAAATATAGTAGCTCCTTCTATTCATTCTTTGAAGTAAAAAGGGTGGATCATTACGCTACTGACATTAAAAAAAAAAAAAGATTGATGATACAATGTTTGAAGACTATATAGTCACCACTGTTTATGATAATGTGAAATTGTACAACCCCTTTGGAATACAGCTTTTTCAGACATTAGGAATTATACATTCAACCTTCTGTTTATAAGTTTTATTGAAACAAAATTAATTATATTTCCATAAAAGATCATTAAATAAATATTCCTGTCTTTTGTTGTAATTACAGAATGGAAAGAGTCTAAAGGATTAATAAGTAGATCATTAACAACCTATTGTATATAAATATCAGAGACTATGAAAAAGCTACTCAAAATAATGATAGGC